TAATTTGCCAAATAATCTGGTTAATTATACTGATAGTAAAGCTTCTGGTTTTGACCAAACGGTTTAGCTACTCTCATCACAATGACTATTAAAACCTACCTATTTGCTACAGGGAATTCAGTTCTTCAGATACTACTAGGTAATTTTTCCTGAAACTAGGTCCTAATGTATGAAAAATATGTTATGTGTAATTTTATGTGTAAACTGGAACTTGGTTTTGAGTCACTTAAAAATATTTCCATTGTAGGAATCACCATCTTCTCTGTTGGTGTGGCCTGGGCACCCCTGGATGACCTGAGAGATATGGCCTCCAAACCAAAGGAGTCGCATGCTTTCTTCACAAGAGAGTTCACAGGATTAGAACCAATCGTTTCCGATGTCATCAGGGGCATTTGTAGAGATTTCTTAGAATCCCAGCAATAATGGTGACATTATGACAATTGAAAGAAAAAGTGCAAGGGGATATAATGTATAAGTTATATTCTTGTAATACTGAAATACTATAGAGCATATTAGGATCAGATACAAAATTATATTAAATGCCAACAGATGTTTTAAGCAAATAAACATTCATTTAAAGCTACTAGCGTTTAAATACAATTTAGACTTAATTGTTCACTCTACTGAGACTTCATAACTATGACCTTTAGAAACTCAGGAAAGGGGATACATTGTGGATTAAAATCTTACAATTTCTATTCTAATATGCATATTAAATGTATAGATATAAAAATTACATAGCTCAATAAAAGACTGATTCTTAGTCCCAAAGCAACATTCCTTTTATCATTCTGTATTAAATATGTAAGATGAAAGAGAAACTTAAATAGAAAACAGCTTTTACTTCAGACATAATCATCTTGACTGAAAAGTAGTTGTTCTCTTATAAACCAGTAATAGTTGTTCAGTATACTAAAAAGTTATAATTACCGATGAAATGGAAGAGAATTAAGTATCAAGTAGTGTATTTTCATAAATTATAACAGATCACACTGAAGATAGGACTGCCTAGTATTTTTCTATTTATACCCTTAATTTTTATGTGTATAGACATATATGACTTGTACTCTAAAAGTCATTAAGTTGGTAAATTCTTACTTACCATTTATACTCTAAACATTTAGCTTTGAAGCACATATTTCAAATAGGAGAACTGCAGGAAAATACTGTAGTTTGACTATATTTAAGCAATAAAACCACTAGTGACTATTTAAGCTAACTTTTATTTTTCTAAGTGTTTCTCCCTAGGGCATGGTAAAACTGCTACATTCAGTAATTCATGCAGAAAGACCAACTTAAATTTTTCTTAAAATCATGCAATAAGATTTTTTTTCTTTCATTCATTTATTCATTGCCTACTGTTCAAGGCATTATAGTCACCACTGGATCAACAGTACAAGATGCTTTTGATTAGTACTTGGTGCAACAAAAATGTTTTATAATTAACATTATTTTTACTTAAAAATGCTTGTGAAATTGGTTCCTAAAAGAAGTGATCAGATTCCCATTAATGTATCATCATCATCACACTCACCAAGAACCCTCCCCCTCAGGAAGAAAGAGGTGCTATCATCCCATCATGCTTTTCTAGGACAGGAACTGTCCTCTCCCTCATCCGTGTACCGTCTTGAGTCTCACTGATCCTATCTGAAAGGTTTATAACCAGTTGACCCTCAAATAGTGTTAATCGACTAGAAACTAATATATATATATATACTCCAGTTAATCTTTTAACAATTTTATAGTTTATGTAAAAGGAGTGAAAGGACTGTTACTGAAGAGGCATAAGTGAAACTGCCTTTGACACTAAATAAAAACTTGATAAAATGGGCGTATGGCAAGACAAACCTCCCCAAATTATAATATGTGGCAAATATGAATTCATGTAACTAGATCTTCAAGTAACTAAAATGGGTTTAACAACATGATTTTCTCCCAATACACAAAGTACAAATTCTCAGCCAACAGTACCACTCCTTAAAAATTTAAACTTAAGTGAAAACACAGCCTCTAGTCAGTAGCCCTTCAAAATTTTTTTTCATTGATTTTAGAGGGAGAGGGAGAGAGGTAGAAACATCGATGAGAATATCGAGTGGCTGCCTCCTGCATGCCCCCCCACTGGGTATTTGGCCCACAACCGGGGCATGTGCCCCGACTAGGAATTGAACTGGTGACCTCTCGGTACATGGGTTGACCCTCAACCACTGAGCCACTCTGGCTGGGCTAGTCTGTAGTCCTTTTAGAAATGCCTTTCCTTTCCTTTAATACTATAAAGGACAAAGTTTTGAGGTATCTGAGGTAACCAGGGAAGCTAATATTTTCTGACTTAAAGAGCATTAAGTGAGCAGAAATGAGCACTTTATCAAGTTACTATCAATTTTTAGACTTAAACATAATCAAGATAAAGAGTTAACACATATAAAAAGGAATAAAAAGTAAAAGTATTTTTAAAAAGATGTACAACATCCCTGGCTGGTTTGGCTCAGCAGTTAGAGAATCGGCCCACAGACCAATGAGTCACGGGTTTGATTCCGGTCAAGGGCATGTAGCTCAGTTGTGGTTCATCCCTGGCCCTAGTTGGGGTGCTGCGGGAGGCAACCAATCGATATGTCTCACATCGAAGTTTCTCTCCCTCCCTCCCTCCCTCCTACTCTATCTGATGATAAATAGAAAAATATCCTTGTAAAATTCAAATACACTAGACAATTTATAACTTTAAATGTATTATAGCATCTTCAGTGGATAACTTTGAAATATCAGAAAAGTGAGTAAATTATAAAAAGGCAAAATATGATCAAATATTGAAAAGGTCAACATATTAAAGTTTGCATATATTCTTAAACGTTATGTCCAAAGCACCATTTAGTAATCTATATAATTTCCCATAAGTCACAAAAGCACACACATAAAATAAAAACATTCTTTTTGTATCCTTAGTCTTTTTTCCAAATGTTTAATATTGTAGAGAAAAATACAACCAAAGTAGGTAAGAGAAAAATAAACATATATAATTTTTATTTATTTCCATTTTATTACATTCCAAGAGGTGAATGTTTATGCACTGCAGTGATGATAACCACATTTCAGTTCAACAGTAAGCAGTGGTTTAGAATAACTGCTAGAAATGCTAGTAGCTTTGGAAAAGCTTGTTCCTAATTACTTAAAAAAAAATGCCCCTTTGCTTATTAAGTTGAATCTTCAGAAAGCAAAAAAGCTAATACATTTTTTTAATTTCTGAAAAGTTTTAGTGTTTCACCAGGAACAACTAAATCTGCTACTTGGATTTTTATGCTAGATAACAAAATTTCTCCAAGTACACACAATGTAAATTTTTTTTTTTTTTTCAGTAGGCATTCAAATAAAATTTTGTCATGTAAGTTTTCTGTTACCTTCTAATTCCATTTGCAATTCCCTTCAAAGAAAAAGGATGATGATATTACCTTGTGGAAGGAAAAGTTTTGTGATAGTAACACAACACTATTTATAAGAACCTTTAATTAATGAATAATGCAGTTTATTTTCTGCTGAGCATTTGTGGAAAAACGTATGGCTAGACAGAAGTGACAACACTAACTGAATTCAGATTTAATAAAGTAATATGATGTTTAAGGAAATGATTTAAAACTGCATCTGTTTATTTTTTCCCCCCTTCTGTTTTTGGTCTTTTTGAATTATCTAACTTATTTCATCAAAAGATTTATTTTATTACCCCCAAACAGGATGAAATACTTAGCAAGGTATTCTTAATAGTGTTAACTGTTCTAATCTTATTAGAATATCTATAAGTAGTAAATGTTTAATAGCATAAAAATGAAGGACTCACTGAGGAATTCATCTCCATTTCCTAGTTTAATGATGGAGAGTTAAGTATTGCACTTTATTATTCAACACAAAATAATGTAGCCAACAGTAACATACAGGTACACAATTTAATATTTATTATATGCATTTTATATACATTATTTTTCAACAGCTGTACGTTTGCTATGTGGTACAATCTTAAAAATTTGCTGATTCATAGTTTGTAAAACAAAAACCTTACAAAACTCATCAAAACTCGCAAACTGATCAGAAAAGATTTTTGGAAGACTAGAAAAAATATTTTATTGTCTTAATCATGCATTACACAAACAAAACTTTAGTTACACCATAAAATTAAGCACATTTGAAAAAATAAAACAGGGATAACTAGTCCAAACACAGCAGATTTCTGTATCCTGATTCAACTATTTTGTATCCTATTTGTAATGCAAATAATATTTTACTCCAAATATTTTTAAACAAGATAGTTTTGTTTGGAATCATGGTAAACCAAGATATGTATCTGGGGAGGATCACCTTGGTATGTAACTTAAACTATAAAATACTCCATTTTTAGTCTATTTTAGACTATTCAGAGAGTTCCAAAATAGATATACAGGTTCCTTTAGCACATTAATAAAAGAATATAAAGAACAACAAAAAGTGAAATAAATAATAAGCTATTAGCAAGATGGATAATCCTTGATAAATAAACTTGTAAATACAGTAAGATGTACAAAATATCACATAGTGATAGGATGCCAAGATTAGTTTTTTTTTTTAAGAGTTCATTTGGAGCACTAAACCCCACTGTTTCATTCTAATACACTTAATAACCCTTGGTTTATGGAGACAATCGTGATGACGAAGGTGATTTAGCATCTTATGGAAGGACTTAGCTGAGCTGTATTAGGCGAAAGAAAGAGTGTGGTTACACAGCAGCGGGTCGGGTCAGTGAGATCTCTGGGTTTTAGGGTTGTATAATGCAGAAAAACTTCAATACAATCTTGAGCACTGTTGTGACAGGCTAAATATATAAAAAAGACTTATAAAAACTAGAATTTTATCCAAACATTTTGTGCAACTAATGCTAAAATATTTTAAGTTAAATTTTCTTTTCTTTTTTTTTTTAAAGCAAAATAAGTTTAAAAGGGAATCTGTGGCATTCAACTGATAAACAGAAGATCACTAAGAGATGAAAAAAAACTATTCTTGGAGCTCACTTCCCCCCAACAAGAGCACCACATCCCTAACCCTAAGGCAGCACACAGAGTCCCAATAAGTCCTTTTTTAAGATCAGACTCCACATTGGCTTAAAGATACCTAAAAAACAGACATACGCTCAGTTTGTATCCAGTACAGGCCACAAATACTGGAGTCCTTTTTTGTCCCACAAAATACAGTAATTACAATTAAATTAATGAACCTGACATTAAGATGTAATTTCCACCAATTTATGCCTGCCCCGAATAGCCTTCAGCAGGCAGATCACATGTAGTGTCTTATCAGTAACCACTTTTGATGGCAGTGATGCAGACCCTCTTTCTGTCCAAGCAAATCTGTTGTTAGGATGAGAGCATCTGTTGATTCACACAAATACTTTGGCAAGGGCATCAGCCCCTGCACTAGCAATATATGCTTTTGACGGATGGAAAGCAACATCATATATTGATTCATCTAATTTCTTCCTATGTGCTGTTATTTCTTGCACACATGTCTTACTGTCCAAATTCCACAATCTAATAGAACAGTCATGGCCTGTAAAAGAAAAAAATACAGTGTTACTGAGTAACAATTCTTTTATAAAGTTTGTATGCAGTACAGGAAGTTCAGACTTACTTCCAGACATCAAATAGATTCCATTAGGATCTACTGCTAGACTTGTAACAGCATCCAAATGAGCTACCATAGAATGGATCATTTTACCTAAATAAAACATAACAAAGATGATTAAGTTTTCACTAACTTAACTTTAGAACTAAAAAAGACAATGACTATAGCATTTTTTTTGGTGTGGTAAAATATATCCAACATATTACCATTTTAACTATATGAGAGGATACAATCCAGTGGCTTTTAGAACATTCTGAATGATTACAACCACCACCATCACCTAGTTCAGAACATTTTCATCATTACAAAAGAAAACCCCATACCCATTAAGCAGTCACTTCCCATTTCTCCTCTCCCCCAAGTCCCTGGTAATAATTAATCTACTTTCTCTCTATCTAGTTTGGACTATTCTGGATGCTTCACACAGATAAATCATACAACAACATATGGCTTTTTGTGTCTGCCTTCTGTTACTTAGCATAATGTTTTCAAGGTTCATCCACTATAATATTTTAAAGAGAATTTTAAATCAAATGCAAAACTTTCCCAGTACTTTTAATACAGACATTTTGTGTTACATGAATTTGACAGTATCTGATAGTGGAAAACATAATAAATATAGGGTTGCATCAAAGACTTAAGAGTATGGAAACTGGAATTAAGATGAAAACAGAAAAAATCTTTCTCATTAAGAGATGTAAAGATTATTTTATATACAGGTTTAATGATAAGTAAAACACCAAAGAATACATTACTACTTAATCGTTCTAGTTATCATCAAATTCATTTATCCTTTGAAATGTCAATTGCTTTATATATATTAGAAATAAAAAAGAGGAAGGTATAGAAAAACTATTCCTAATTTCCCCAGATAGTAATAAAAACACTGTTCTGGAAAATTTAGTTTACTGACTACCTTCACTGAAGATCTGGCAAGCAAACAATTCAAGAGCAAGTGGAAATTAAAAATAAGGTGTAAGTACAAAGTTGTGTTGGATAAATACTTTGAATCAAGGGTGCATCAGCCTCTGCACTCATAATATATGCTTTTGATGGATGGAAAGCAACACCATATATCGATTTTTCCAAGGAGGGTATAAAATAGCAAACACTGATACTTTTTGAAAATAAATTTTTTATGTTTTTATTGATTTTTTAGAGAGAGGAAGGGAGAGAGAAATAGAAACATCGATCAACTGCCTCCTGCATGAGCCCCACTGGGGATCGAGCCCGAAACCTGGGCAATGTGCCCTGACCAGGAATCAAACCAGGACCTCTCAGTCCATAGGACAATGTTCAGTCCACTGAGCCACACTAGCTGGGCACAAATACTGATACTTTTAAAATTTCCTCCCCTTTCATTCATCAATGAGCATTACTCAAATGCCTGGGCTGCTCCTAATGAGACATTGAGGCCCTCTCCAGAATTCTGGTTACAATCATTTTCTATGCTTCTTGTCCCCCGATGACATTTTACACTGGAACATGAAATATATCTACTTTTGTTATTTGTCATGAGGCTATCTATAGCTGTTGACCTGAACACAAAACCACAGCATAATCAAGTGTGAGAAAGTTTCTCTGAAAAATATAAGTCCTATCACTTTCTGGAAATATTAAACACTTATCAGTTGAAGACAAAACTAAAGTTTCTCATTATTTCAAACTATATTTGTCTATTCATTAATACTAAGATTAACACCCGGCTGGTGTGGCTCAGTAGCTGAGCGTCGACCCATGCTCCAAGAGGTCGCCAGTTCAATTCCCAGTCAGGGCACATGCCCAGGTTGTGGGGCTGATCCCCAGTGTAGGGGCATGTAGGAGGCAGCCAAGCGATGTCCTCTCTCATCGATGTTTCTATTTCTCTCTCCTACTCCCTTCCTCTCTCTAAAATCAATAAAGAAAAAAAAAAGAAAAAACTAAGATTAACAAAATAATTTAGGGTTCTTCTGTGCTATCCTAAGGAACAGAAAAATTATTCAGCACATGATCGTTATCTTGAATTGCTCAGTCCAACATAATTCATCTGTCAATTCTAGAATCCATTCCTCTCAATATTCCTATTAAAAACAAACACCCCCTAAGTATGAAATGGTTGGCCACTAGGACAATAATCTCAAAACATAGGGGTTAAGTAGCAAGTATAATTAGCTTCGTTTAAAATGTCAATTCTATGATGGTAATTCTTCATTCAGTCTAGTTCTGACTTCTCTCCTGAGAATAATACTGTATGTTCTAAATTTAAAGTGTTTTAAATCAAAGAATTATTTCAACCAAATAGCAGATCTACCCATTTTTTTAAGGGTACAATAATGATCCAGGTTTAACTCCAACTCTTCTGCCTGTGCATTTAACTAACCTTGACTGATACATTAAGTCAATTTAGAATCAACCCTTCTTTTCCACATAGTCACTCCAAAATGTGAGTGATCTCCTCCCCCTTCGGAATGAACCACGTATAAAGAAATGCCATGCTAAACCAAGTTGGCTGCTGGGCTTCTGATGCCTCCTTCAGCAACACTTACTTGTAAATTTCCCACATTTAACCAATTTCACTTTGGCCATGCCTTTGCTATCAACCCTCTTCCTCCACCAAGATTAAGTCTTTCCTCCTATAACAGTCACCTGTTCTCCCCTCCCTGGCCCCTAAACCCTTTGACTTGGACAATCAGTATTGTGGGCCTCTATAAAATGGAGAAGAAACAGACTAATGTAAAACATGTACACTCAGAAGCAAACTGCATAGATTTGAATCCCAACCCTGCAATTTTCCTGTTGTATAACACTACATAAATTATTTAACTTCCTGAAAGCCTTTTATTTCAACTGTAAAATGAAAATAATAGTATTATATATACCTTAGAGTTATTAGAAGAGCAAACATGTTAATACATGTAAATAAAACAGAACAATGTCTCACAGTAATAAAACATTAAGCTCCAAGAAGATAGGACATTTTGTTTTGTTTCCCAAGCACTGAGAACTGCAAAGAATATGGCAAACAGTCAATAAATTCTGCTGAAGGAGTTCACAACCAATTTAGGACATTCTTCCTCCAACTTCTCCACACCCCTTACTTATACTATATCTTCTCAGACTCACCACCTAAGTGTCTCAGCACAGAATACGCAATTCTAATTTGTGCCTCTACCAAAAATGTAAAAATCATGATCCCCAAAGATCTCTCTGGGATAATAGAAATCATGCATTTAAATTCTTTAAACTCAAGGATCTACCATATAATACAACTTAACTAATCTTTCTAAACCAATTTTATAAACCCTTGTTCAACTATTTTAAGTGGTTTACATAGTGTATAGCATTAAAAAAAAAATCATTATTCTTAGCTGACTCTGAAAAGTTCTCAATAGACTGTATTCCTCCTCCAAACTTATGCCTTTGGCTTTGAATGTAAAAAATTCCCATGTTGGACAAAGTTCCTATCACCAAGCCTCTGATCAAAATATGCCCTTACTTGAAATTTTCTACTACTTTCTTCACTTAAAAAAATGTATCTTACCATTGCTTCAAGGCAAAGCTCAAATGCTCACTCTATGAAGACTCCTTTATCTAGCAGAGCACGTTACTGTATGTACGTATGAGTGGGTGCACACACATCTTATTTTCCCCTGACAATAGTAAGTCACCAGAAAGCAAAAACCTTATCTTATACATGACAGTAGCCAGTGCAATGCAAGATACAAAATGCTAACTATATTTCTGTTGTTAAAATCTAAATGGTTATTGAACCCATTCACAGTATTGATTCCTATGTTTCAGATTTTAAAAATTCAGTAAATTTAATTCAGCGTTGTATGTGTGTGCGCCAGTGTGTGACAATGAAAGTGCGAGAGGTTGATTTAAAAAGAATTTTTCCACTGTTTGAAAGCTATTGCTTTAATTTCTTCACACTAAAGATCAGGTACTAGACTACTTAACAGAAATAATAAAATTGGCAGAATTTACCAATCATTTTATAGGCTCCTTATTTGTTAAGTGAAATTTTATTACCACCTTTTCTTGAGTTCTGACAGTAAAACAGTTCTAGAGACTAATACTTTTAATACAACTACTAAAATTCCTGAACCTTCCCTTACAAATTTAAACCTTCACTAATTAATTTAAAAAGAAATTAACTCTGCTCTTGCAGCAGAGGAAGAGCTTTAGGCTTCACAAAATGTTCAAAGAATTGTTGATAAGGTGTTAAATTGAGAACATTCACATGAATGATTCGTCCTTCCAGTGAAATATATATATATAGTCCTGTGAATATCCATTACCTTTTCAGCTGTTCTAATCAATTAAAAGAAAATCTGTCAATGAAGTGTTGCTTGAACAAAGGGATTTATATAAGACTCTAAAAACTAATTATGACCCTGTCCTATATAACCTCCAAAGAGAAATCTGTCTTCTAATTTGCTATCTTGCTTGATAATTTGTTGCCCTGCAATAATGTTACAATTAACATTTAAGTTTCTGATTTGGAAGTACTCTAATACCCCCGTTTTAGCTTCCACTCAAAGAAGCCTCTTCAGCTGTCAGACCTTTCCTGAAATAAAGCAAATATTATTTTATGCAGTATTCAGGTAATTACATATAAAACAAGAGTCCTTAAAAAAAAAAAAACAACAAAAACCTATGGCCATATTAATATCTGAGGTGATTTCTATATAAATGGTAAGTTTTCTGTCAACAAATACAGGGAAGATGACAATAAAACATTCCCACTATATCATCACTTCAGCCACTGAGAAATAATTTTAAGAACATATTTGAAATGCCAAACACCAGAAAGACACCTCTTCTGCTATACTAACTCACAACAGGATATGAAAATAATTTCAAATGGAAGAATTTATATTTAACTAATATGACATGAAAAAAATCATAATAGGTAGTCAAGTGTTATTTATATATTTAAGGATAAAACATGTATTATTAATGTGCTACATAACTAAAGCAAAAATCTGAGTTAAAATGGTTTAACTTGGTGATTTTGAAACTGTGAAGTCAATATATCTTATATAAAAGAACAGCATTTTTTATTACCTCCTATTTACACAATTATTAACACTACTGAACAGAAAATAAGGCAACCTACTTACCCGTTTTATTGTCAAAAAATTTGATGTGTCTATCTTCATGAGCAGTTATTGTAACAGGAAGTGTGGGATGACTTACTACTCTGTTAATGTGATTACTGGATTGTAAATCTGAAAAATAAGGAAAGATAATGCACTAAAATTCAAATTTTCAGTTAGAAGCTGGATGATGACCTTTGTAGTCTTACCAAAAAAATTAAAAATCAAAGCTTTGGTATAAAACAAAATCATCTAAGAAACAGAATTAGCCCAGAGGTCACGGGTTCGATGCCCGGTCGGAGCACATGCCCAGGTTGTGGGCCTGATCCCCAGTGGGGGACATGCAGGAGGCGGCCAATTGATGTTCTCTCTCATCGATGTTTCTGTCTCTCTCTCCCTCTCCCTTCCTCTAGTATCAATAAAATAAATAAATAAATAAATAAATAAATAAATAAAATTAGAGCTCTAGAAAGATACAATTTCTTAAAAAATAAATGTTTAAGCTATCATGCCCTATAATATAAATAGTACTAGGTTCAAGTTTAGAAAAAATTTTGAGTATTTTAATGTAGGTGGTTTAGAAGTCTTAAAAATCATTCCACATGTATATAAGAACTCTTAAGTAAACTTAAACACCTAAAAAAAAAAAAAATGTGTTTGTGTGTGAAATTACCTATGTAAGAGGGAGAGAGAAAATAAGGTTGAAAAGGCACTGGACTGGAAAAAACGCTTCTTTGAGTATTTAAATATTTTACATAATTATAAAACAAATTTTTAAAAAGAAATCACAAAAATTCAAAGGTAAAATTAAACAAACGAACTTAACTATATATCCAATTGGTGGTATAAACACAAATAAATGAACTACTTCAAGTGACCTGAAAGCACAGTAATAGACTGCCCATCCCTAGTGGAATATACTCTGAGCACAAAACATTTTCAGTAATCAAACTATTGGTGGTTATCTTGGTATTATTATTCTGAGATGACTGTATGTGTACTGTGGGATAAATAAAATGAGAGATTATAATGATTTTGCTGAGAACAAAGAGTTTTGGTATGGTTAAAATGAGGTCAAGACATAGAAATCAATGAGATAAATCTGAATTTGAATGAGAAGTATTTGCATGAATTTATCAACATTTTTCTTTTTTTCAAATGTATTTGTAGCTCTGACCACTGAAAAAGCCTAAACCAATGACCAACTGAAGAGCCATGAAATCTGTAAGGACAAACCCAATAGCTTACTACCTAGATTGTTGTCTCTGAATGCCTTTTTCCACTAAGAGAAACCATGGGTCCTTAGAGAAATGGCTGATTTCAGATCTGGGGCACAAATGAACAAGATGAACCTGAAACATCTTATCATAACAACAAGTAAAACTATCAACGACTACCAGGTCAAGTCTAAAGGACTCAGGAGCCAACTTTATTAAATTCCCACTGGCCAAAGATGAAACAATCTGAGTAGCAATAAAGATAATACCTGCAGGCCTGGCCGGTTTGGCTCAGCGGTTAGAGCATCGGCCTGCGGTCCCGAGAGACCCGGGTTCGGTTCCCGCTAAGGGCATGTACCTCAGTTGCAGTTTGTCCCCGGCCCTGGTCGGTCGTGCGGGTGGCAGCCACTTGATGTGTCCCTTTCACATCGATGTTTCTCTCTCTCTCTCTCTCTGTTCCTCTCTCTCCCTCCCACTCTACCTGAACAAAAAATGTCCTCGGGTGAGGATAAAAAAAAATAAAAAGACAATACCTGCAATGGCCCTGGCCAGGTTGGCTCAGTGGTAGGGCATCGGCCCATGGACCAGAGAGTCCCGGATTCGGTTCCCGCTAAGGGCACATACCTCGGTTGCAGTTTGTCCCTGGCCCTGGTTGGGGTTGTGTGGGTGGCAGCCACTCAATGTGTCTCTCTCACATCAATGTCCCGCCACCCCACCACCCCACCCGCCTCTATCTGAAGATAAATGCAAAAATGTCCTCAGGTGAGGATAAAAAAAAAAAAAGATGATACCTGCAATGCATTGAAACACATCAAATACATTTATATCCAAGAGAGAGTATAATGATAATAAAAACAAACAAACAAACAGCACCTAATGGACTCTCTGGTCATCCTTGGAGAATGCTAGGAACACCTTATTACTATTACTATGAAAGCTAGAACATAAAGGAGGGAAAAATATCAATAATTTATTTTGCCTTTCCTTTATAATCTAACTCCAGAGTACCCAAATTACTAATGAGAAATGTTTCTTTTTACAGAAGTAAAATGGAGAAGTAATGACAGAATTAGAAAATCATTTTTAAACAGTTAATGAATTAACAGACCTAGGCAATGATCATCAAAACTGAAAACATAAGAAAAAGATAAACAACCAGACAATATTTACTTCTGGTAAAAGTTCACAAATTACTATAAAGTAATCTTTTCAAAAACATTAAAAAGCTTTAAAATGAAGACGAAAACAATAAACCTGAATTTGAATAAGCCTCTAGATCTATAACCAATTTACAGGAAGTAAAATGAACAGAGGAGCTTGTCAAATAGCAAAATCCAGACTGTGGAAAACTCTTTAGGCAAACAATCCAATTTCTTCAATTTAAAAAATGCAAGGAAGTACAGCTTAGGAAACATAGTCAATAATATTGTAATAACTATGTATGGTGTCAGGTAGGTACTTGAAGTACTGGGGGATTACTCTGTAAAGTACATACTGTCTAAGTACTATGCTGCACACCTGAAACTAATACAAAAGAATATTAAAGGTAAACTGGAATTAAAATAAAATAAACATTAAAAAATGCAAGGGAAATAAGAGATGGAGGGGGAACCTACAGATGAAAAGAGACTTGACAGATCTATCAACTAATCACAATGCAGGATCTTACTTGGATTCCTATTTAAATAAATTGTAAAACACACATCACATCCTATACTTACAACATTGGCCATTTATACATAATTACTGGAGCTGTATGATGAGTTCATCAGGCTCATTATATTATTTTCTCTACATCAATATGTATTTCTATTAAAAAATTTAAAACCATTTCCCTTGCTTTTACATTGCTTTACTCACTCCTCTGTCCTCAATACCCACCATCCAGCTTTTAAGCATAATTTGACGAAAGAGAAATAATGTAAATAAATTCAGCTATAACACAAGAAAACTATTTTCCCCATCCTAAATTCAAATTGTCAAAATGTGAAAATTAAAACATCATTCTCTACTGTGTACTAATCCTTTTTAAGGTTTCAAAGAAACTCATGAAAACTTACCAGAATCTATCTGTGATGAAAGCATCACCAATGACTGTGATGTTTCTAAATCATAAATTACGGTACTACCAGTGTTGAAAGAGGTCACCATATGAGCTGGGTCACAGCCTATAAAGTCAACCGATGTAGGAATTCCATGCCCTGAAAAGAGCCCAGATAGATACAGTGTAAAGACAAAAACTTTAGAAATCTCTGCTCTTCTGATAAAAAAATAAGAAATTCAAATATTTCAAATAATCTTGAAATAATGTTAATAATAATAAAAAAAGCAATTGTGTCAGGATGGTGAGCTATATAATAGGTAGGTAACAGTTCCCTCAATTATTTTATTTTTTAATTTTTTTCAAATTATTGACTGATTAATTGACTGTAGAGAGGGTGGACAGGAGGGAGACAGAGAACATCGAAACATCAATGTATGAGCTACATCGATCAGCTGCCTCCCCCACGCAGCTGGACAGGGGATTAAATCTGCAACCTATGTATGTGCCCTGAACGAAATCAAACACGGTACCTTCTGGTGCACGGGATGACACTCCAACCGAGTCACACTGACCAGGACTTTCTCTCAATTATTTAAGAATTTTTATAACCTATTTAACATTATAAGAAAAATAAAGCTAGGGGCTCTTAAAGTGAGAGCAGATGTGCAAAAATTACTTTCTATGCATTTTCTTTTATTTATAAGAGAAAAAAAATCCTGGACAAGTCTTTGGCCCGTTAACCTTTCTTACTGCAAAATGATAAATTAGCATTCTCACATCACTGTCTTGGAGACTATTCACCTGTCTGAGACCTAAAAGTCTAATCAAGTGCTAATACCTGTCAAATTTTCAGATCTGTAAAAATAAACTGTGGACTCTGGAATCCACTCATGCAGTACTATCCCCTAAAGTGGCCTGAGCAACAATTGATCAATGCACAACAAAGTGAAATCTGGAGACAAGCAATTAATTACCTGGATGAAGCTAGAAACAAATAGCTGAATAAATTTTTACCTCAAAACCTTGGGTAATAAAAAATTAGAATCATTCAGGTATCTAAGAGACCCAATAAAATTAAGCACATACTAGTCATCTAAAATGTTTTCAACCAAACATACTTTTTAATACAAATAAAAGGTCTGATATATAAAATTAACTTTTAAAAATGATGGAAAATAAGACCAATACAAGTATAGTATATATATATAATGTTAATAAATGTCACAGGTAAATTAGTTAAGGCTTTCTTTTTGACAGGAAAATATTTGAAATCATGGATTTAACTTAGTTTGTACTTCCCAGTTAAGGGTGCTATTTCAATTATTACAACTAGATTTCTCAACCATTGTGCTCATACATAGTTTACGGGTATGCTTGAGACAGTGACCCCTTTGATTTCTGTGGGCAGTGACCTGAAGCAGGCAGAGCGCCTTGTGTTGTCTCTATTAGTAGCCTCATTTGTCTATTCCACTGTTACACAGTTTTATTTTTTAAATAGGACATGTGCTGAAAAGGGTAAAAACAAAAACAAAAAAGCCAACACTGAACTACATGATATACTTGAAAAGCATCTTTCTTGTTTATAAAAAATGACAAAGTAAAAAGATAATCACAAGCTTTAAATTCTTTCAATCTTTTGGAGCAACAAAGAAATAGATCAATTGTCCTTTCTATCTTCCAAACTTTAAAAAAAATTTAGCTTTTTTCATAGAGGCAAAATTTACTTACCCTTGTCTCCATTATAAGTGCAAATACATGGCAATTTTTCTTGTGGATTCCATAACCTAACAGTGCCATCTGCTGAACAAGACAGTAACTGATTTTTTATGCCACTATAAGCAAGACCCCAGACAGCATCTGTATGAGCAACTAAAGTGCCAGCTAGAACATTTGGCTCTGGGAAGAAAAAAACAAGACAGACAAACAAAAATGAGCCAAAATAAGTTTAAGTATATAAAGATCACCTACCATATAATTTAGTATAAGACTACACATTCCTGCTATAAGAAGATAAACCAAAGTGTATACAGGCCATGTCTTCTAAGTCATGAAGTTACTGGTTATTTTTACCCACCCCCAATACTATTTTGCATTTTTGCAATTTTTTGTAAGGAAAATATACTTTTTAAAAAACAGCTTTATTGAGCTATAATTCCCATTCCATACAACTCACCAATTTAAAGTGTACAATGCAGTGTTGTTGTTTTTTAGTATGTTTGCAGAGTTCTGCAATCATCACCACACCAATTTAAGACACTGTCATCACTAGTTATCCATTTCCATCCAACTCTTCTTCACTGCCTTTCCACAGCCCTAGGCAACCACTAATCTACTTTGTTTCTACAAGTTTGCCTATTCAGGATATTTCATACAAGTGGCCTTTTGTGGCTGGCTTCTTTCACTTAGCATATTGTGGCATGTATCAGTACTTCACTTTTTAATTGTCGAATAATATTCCACTGTATGGACATACGATATATGACATTAAAATTTTTTTTTCTTTATTGATTTTAGAGACAGGGGAAGGAAGAGGGAGAGAGAGATGGAAACATCGATGACAGAGAACATCGACTGGCCACCGCCTGAATGCCCCCCACTGGGGATTTGGCCCACAACCTGGGCATGTGCCTTGACCTGGAATTGAACCAGTGACCTCTTGGTGCATGGGCTGGTACTCACTCACTGAGCCACACTGGCCGGGCTGGATACACTACATTTTATTTATCCATTCATCACTTGATAGACATGGTGGTTAATAACATTTGTGCATTTGTCCTACAAACCTATTTCTCTAGTAAACACCCCTTTTCCATGGGTATTTATCACCTCCGCATTCTCACAGTTCCCAACCTCTCTTATGAATAATTACTTCTCATACTTAACTGAGTATAGCATTGAAATAGAAAACCATTCCTATCTTTCTGCCTCCCAATCTATAAATCAGTGTCTAAAACCATCTTCTCTGTGCAGATACCAGTAAGAAATTGTGTTCCTTCCTATCAAGGGCTAATTATACAGGTGTAGTCTGGATTCCATTCAACTCTCTAACTTGCTTTCATGTTTAACATTTCCCTACTACAAAAATTCTACTCCTTGAGATCTATAAGCCAACAAATATGCTTCAGTATCTCTCAACCTAAACAAAAAAACCTCCATTAACCTTACACAACGATTCTGCCAAACAGTAGAAAAGCATAGAGTAAATACGTTTTTACTTTCCATTTACTCTCCAAATCATTCTAATACAGTTTCTGATACCAACACAACACAACAACCCTTGCTAGCTAAAATCACCAATGATGAACTCTGTCTACCAAATTTAATAAATTTTTTATTTCTTTGATGATTTCTTTCATTGTTGCTCTCATCACATTGTTTTTCATTCATAGAGTATGCTTTGAAAGGTCCCTTTACCCTCTGGTTTTAGCCCCAGCATCCCTCTCTCTGTCTGGCCAAGATGTGGGTGAACTATTTGTTACATAAAAAGGAACCTTTCTATCATTAGACCTCTCAGCAATATTTGAAAGTGTCAACTGTCAACTGTTTCCTTCTCAAAATGGTTTCTTCTTCTTTTTTTATCCTCACCCGAGGATATTTTTCTATTTATCTTTAGGTAGAGAGAGAGGGAGAAAAAGGGAGAGAGAGTGAAACATCGACGTGAGAGGGACACATTGACTGGATGCCTCCCGCACGGCCCAGACCAGAGTTGGGGATGACCCGCAACCTAGGTATGTGCCCTTGGCTGGGATCAAACCCAGAACTCATTGGTCTGTGGGCTGACACTCTACCGCTGAGCCAAACAGGCCGGGGCATCTTCTTTTGGTATGTTTCCTTAATTCCATACTCTCCTGCACTTACTCTAACCTCAAAGGCCAGTCCTTTATCAGTGTCCTTTGTTCGCTGTCTTGCTCTAGCCACTCTCCCAATGTCAAGAGTTCCTTCTCTTACCCTATATACACACTCTCTCTGTGTTATACCATCCATTCTTACACCTTGATATTAATATTACCTATTTAGTATTGCCATCTCTTAACATGCCTAAAAACCAAATTCACACACCTGTTCTGGCCCCATTTCAATAAATGCCACCATCCCATATTCAATTGCTCGTATCAAAAGTGGTGATGAAAATGTTCTTAATTAGATAGTGGTAATGGTTGCACAATCCTGTGAATATAGTAAAAATTAGTGAACTGTATACTCAAAAGGGTAAATTTTATTAAATGTGAATTATATCTCAATAAAGCTGTTAAAAAAAGAAACAACAAAATCAAGTCACGCATCCATTACTTCACCCACTCAATCCACTTATCAATATATTCCGTCTATTCTATCCTACACCCCAATATTGTCTTTTTCTTTTGCTTTTTTTTGTTGTTGTTAATCTTTACCAGAGGAATTTTTTCCACTGATTTTCAGAGAGTGAAAAGGAGGGAGCGAGGGGGCAGAGAGAGAAAAACATCGATGTGAGACAGACACGTTGATTGGTTACCTCCTGCACGTGCCCAGACTGGGGCGGGGATTGAACCTGCAACTCAGGTATGTGCCCTTGGCTGGAAATTGAACCCACAACCCTTGGATGTGCAGGTCAACGCTCTATCCACTTAGCCACACCGGCCAGGGCTCCCCAATATGTCTTAAATCTATTTCTCTCCAACTGCTCTGCTACCAACTGCTTTACCACCACTCCAGCCTTGCCGACATCACCTCTCACCTAGTCTACTGGTCCACTCCATTACAACTTTACACTATAACATTAAATCTGTATTCCTCTCTCCACTCTTCCCTCTATGCCCTTGCAACACCCAGAGTCACCCTTTTAAATTCTACATTTACAGGTCACTTCCTGGCTTAAAACTCTTTACAGTAGTTCCCACTTATCCTCAGACCTCCAGTGGATGTCTAAAACCACGAAAGTACCAAACCCTGCATACAAGAGTTGGCAAAAGTAGGTTTATAGTTGTGCGTATGTAAAACAGTTGATTCTTATATTATTTGCTTACATTTTTATTATTATTTTTAATCCTCACTCAAGGATATTTTCACATTTATCTTTAGACAGAGTGGGAGGGAGAGAAAGAAAGAAACATCGATGTGAGAGAGACGCATCGATTAGATGCCACCCACACGACCCCAACCGGGGCCAGAATCAAGCCCAGAACTCTTTGATCTGCAGGCCGACGCTCTAACCACTGAACCAAACCAGCCAGGGCTATTTCTTTATTATTGTATTATTTATATTATTATTGTTATTTTATATCTTTACTTGTGATTTATCTTTAAGGGAATGTCTTTTTCCACAAGAACAACTATAAACCTACTTTTCCCCACCCCTGTATGCTTTCCTACATATACATACCTATGATAAAGTTTAAAAAGATTAATAACAATAACTAATAATATAGAACAATTATTACAATATACTATAATAAATTATGTGTATGCGCTCTTTCAGTAAACTAGCACAAATTTCTTTTTTTGGTAGGTTGCAAATTTAATAAGCAAGGGAAGTTACATAAAAGGCTTGTTTCGAGTGGCAGCAAGACTAGTGGAATCTTAAGTATATAGAGGCCTTAACTGAGTTCAGTAATGTATTCACTCCAGCTGGTCTCAACGTCTTACTCTTTTAAGATTACACCCCTGAAAATGACTCCTACTGCCTTGGTTGGTTTGGCTCAGCAGTTAGAACGTTGGCACGCAGACCCTTGAAGAGTTGTGGGTTCAATTCCAGTCAAGGGCATGTACCTCGGTTTCAGTTCGTCCTCAGCCCTGGCCGGGGTCATTCGGGAGGCAACCAGTCAATGTGTCCCTCTCACATGGATGTTTCTTTCAGTCTCTCTTTCTCTCTCCCTCCCTCCCTCCTTGCCTCCCTCCCATTCTATCTGAAGATACAGTTGTCCCTCGCCACTTCGTGCTTCGACTTTCACGGCATCACTCTATCGCCGTTTTTTCAAATATATTCATTAAAAAGCTGATTGAGACAGTGAAAGTGATATAGCGCACACTCGGTTGTCTGAGTCAATTATACAGCCCTGTATTAAAATTAAAATTAAAATTAAAATTAAAATTAAAATTAAAATCACTGTACGTATGGACTGTAGGCCTATGTATTTGAGCACCCCAGGAATCCTTCAATGGTAGGTGCAACCGCTAGAGTCTGGAACGGATTAACCACGATAAACGAGGGACAACTGTAAATAGAAAAATATCCTCGGGTGAGGATTAAAAAAAAAGAAAGAAAGAAAATTACTCCTATTGTGGGAATAGGCAAAACGTGCATTCTAAGGATAGGGGATAGGACCCAATTGCCTGGGTCCAGCTCAAAGGTGAACTGTTGTATTCCTGAGCCTCTCATTGTTGGAGAAGGTAACTGAGAAGCCCCAAATTACCCCGGGTCCAGCTCAAGCACGAATTTCTTCACAATTTCATCAAAAGCAACCTCAGCATATGATTATTTTTTCTTTCCTTATTAAGTTGAAAACTTCCACATTTTCACTTAAAGGAAGCACTTTATAACCCTGACCAGGTGGCTCAGTTGGTTGGAGCATCATCCCATACACCAATTGATTTCGGGTTCTATTCCTGGTCAGGGCACATACCTAGGTTGCAGATATGATCCACAGTTGGGGCACGTACAGGAGGCAACTGATCGATAGTTCTCTCTCATGTCGATGTTTCTCTTTCTCCCTTCCCCTCTCTCTAAAATCAATTTAAAAATATCCTCAAGTGAGGATTAAAAATAATTAAAATGAAGGAAGCATTTTATAGCTTCTCTAATTGAAATTGGCAACATCAATACTTTTGCACTTTGAGGCCATTATTATTAAGTAATTAAGTAACGAAGGGTTACTGGAACATAAGCACTGCCATTCCTAGACAGCTGACCTGATAACCAAGGTAGATACCAAGTGATTAATGGGTATGCAGCATATACAGGGTGGATACACTGGACAAAGGGATGATTCATGTCTAGGGCAAGATGGAGCAGTATGGTGCTCAATTTTATCATGGTACTAAGAACAGCATGCAATGTAAAACTTAAGAATTGTTCATTTCTGAAATTTTCCAGTTAACATTTTTGGACTGCGATCAACGTAGGATGGAAAGCAAAACTACTGATAAAGAGGGATTACTATACTAAAATTTCCCTTGCCCTGGCCGGTTTGGCTCAGCATTTAGAGCGTCCGCCTGCAGTCCAGAGAGCCGGGTTCAGTTCCCACTAAGGGCGCATCCCTTTTATATTTTAGATTGAATGTCACTATTTTAGACTTCATCTAAAGGTTCCGCCTGTTACTCTCTATCTATTGTATCTTCATAGTATTTATCACAATTTATATCTATCCTATTGTTGTTGTTTTTTAATCCTCACCCGAGGACATTCTTCCATTTTTTTGTTCAGGTAGAGTGGGAGGGAGAAAGAGGGGGAGAGAGAGAGAGAAACATTGACGTGAAAGGGACACATCGAGTGGCTGTCACCTGCACGACCAACCAGGGCCGGGGTCAAACTGCAACCGAGGTACGTGCCCTGAGCGGGAACCGAACCTGGGTCTCTCTGGACCGCAGGTAGATGCTCCAACCGCTGAGCCAAACCGGCCAGGGCCATAGACTATCCTCTTGCTTATCTGTTTAATGTCCTCACCTGAGGACATTTTTTTGATATTTTGTTCAGATAGAGTGGGAGGGAGAGGGGGAGAGAGAGAGAGAGAGAGAGAGAGAGAAACATGGACATGAAAGGGACACATCAAGTGGTTGCTACCCACACGACCCAACCAGGGCTGGGGACAAACTGCAACCGAGGTACGAGCCCTTAGCGGGAACCGAACCCAGGTCCCTTGGACCACAGGCCAATGCTCTAACCGCTGAGCCAAACAAGCCAGGGCAAGTCTATTACTTCCATTAGACTAATTCTTACTTCTTGATGTAGTCCTTAACACTAAACCTGGCAAAGTTAGGCACCAAGTGCGTGTTATATAAAAACACCAAAGACCTCCAGTTCTTTTAAAATAAACCAAACATGCCCTGGCCGGTTTGGCTCAGCAGTTAGAGCATTGGCCCACGGACCTGAGAGACCCGGGTTCAGTTCCCACTAAGGGCACGTATCTCGGTTGCAGTTTGTCCTCGGCCCTGGTTGGGGTTGAGTGGGTGGCAACCAATTGATGTGTCTCTCTCACATCGATGTTTCTATCTCTCTTCCTCCCTCTCTATGTGAAGATAAATGCAAAAATGTCCTCAGGTGAGGATTAAAAAATAAATAAAATAAACCAAACATTAAGTAGACCATTTATTTAACTATTCTCATACTGATAAACATTCATTTTGTTTTAATTTTTTGTAATTACAAGCAATGCCCTTTATTTAATTTTTTCTCTTTATTAATCCTCAGCCGAGGATATTTTTCCATCGACATTTAGATAGAGTGAAAGGGAAAGGAGAGGGAGGGAGAGAGATAAATAGAAATATCGATGTGAGAGAGACACATCAATTAATTGCCTCCCACACGACCCTGGGATCAAACCTGCAACCCAGGGACATGCCCTTGACCAGAAATCGAACCCACAACCCTTCGGTTCACAGGCCAATGCTCTAACCACTGAGAAAACCAGCCAGAACAAACAATGCCTTTTAAATATATTTAAATACATGTACAGGTGTTTTTGTAGGACAGTGGCACTTGTAAGTTGTTGTTGTTTTTTTTAAATCCTCACCTGAGGATATTTTTCTATTTATCTTCAGATAAAGTAGGAGGGAGGGAGAGAGGGGGGTGGGTAGAGAGAGAGAGAGAGAGAGAGAAAAATCAACAATCAATGTGGGAAGGACACACCGACTAGCTGCCTCCTGCATGATCCCGACCAGAGCCAGGATAAACTGCAACCGAGGTACAGACCCTTGACCGGAATCGAACTCGAGACTCATTGGTCCACAGGTCAATGCTCTACTGCTGAGACAAACCGGCCAGGGCAGTTTTGTTTTTTTTTAATTAAGGAATTTCTTATTTTATTTTATTTTATTTTTTTTACCCTCACTCGAGGACTTTTTTCCATTTTTGTTCAGATAGAGTGGGAGGGAGGGAGGGAGGGAGGGAGGGAGGGAGGGAGGGAGGGAAACATCGACATGAAAGGGACACATGGAGTGGCTGCCTCCCGCACAACCCCAATCAGGGCCGGGGACAAACTGCAACCTAGTTCTCTCTGGACCGTGGGTCAACGCTCTAACCGCTGAGCCAAACCGACCAGGGCGGTTTTTTGTTTTTTTAAATTAAGGAATTTCTTGTCCTTTAAAAAGTTGTACTGGTACATACCCTTAACTGTCCCTGTTTATTTCTAGTCTTCCACTAAATATTTTTGAACTACAAAAGCTTTCTTAAGTTTAAAAGATTGTTCCTTATACTAAATTTTATTTCCCTCTTTTTGTAACTAGTATCAAAATTAATGCTTTAAAAAAAATTTTTTTTTCTTTACTGATTTGAGAGGGAGGGAGGGGGAGAGACAGAAATATGGACGAGAGAGAGAACATCGACTGGCTACCTCCTGCATGCCCCCCACTAGGGATCGGGCTCACAACCTGGGCAAGTGTCCTGACTGGGAATCAAACCACCAACCTCCTAGTGCATGGGTCGATGCTCAACCACTGGGCCACACCAGCCGGACTAATTAATGTTTTAATTAATACTAGATTTTTATTTTGGGACACCATAAAGTATCTTTTCATAGGCTTAAATATTCATGGCATATTTCATAATTTTTCTCTTTAATAAAGTAAATTACTATTAAATGAAATAACTAAATGAGGAAGCTAGTACATGTCTAAAACAAGCTTACTTTGCCAGCTCCATTCACTTAAAAAAATTTGTTTTAGCATAACCAATGGACATGGACAACAAAGCCAGGGACGGGGTGAGGGGGATGGGGTGGAGGGTGTCAATGGGATAAAAAAGGAGGAACATCTGTAACAAAAATAAAAATAAAAAAAGCAAAAAGCAAAAAAAGTGTTTTGAACCTTTCACTTACCATATGTATCATAGGGATCCACATTAGGACTAGGCATATTCCACCACTGGATGGTTGCATCGATACCACCACTAAAACACTGTTCACCATTAGAACTAATAGCTAATGATAGAACAGGGCCACTATTATAGGAAAAAAAGAAAAAAAATTATTTGTAAAGCCTGAAAAAGAAATTCACATTTGCATCCCCCAAACTCTGAATTTTATATCTAAAAACTGTTTAAGGTAAAACATGTGCACTGAATAGTAATGATTATATTCTCCTAATACAATTATTAACCAAATAAAACATTATTCAACTATCTTTTCTAATATAAAACAACATTTATTATAATTTAACAAGGTCTGTAGACTGATAAATAATAGTTAGCTTTGTGAACTAAAAACTAAAAAAAAAAAAAAAGTTCGCAGTAAGTATGGTTGTTAATTAAGTATTAATTCAATAAAACTTACATGTGGGCCCTAAATGTGTAGATAGGCTCTACATCTAAAGAGGCACTCCTAAAAGAGGGGGGAAAAAAGAGCGGGGGAGAAGAAAGCTATTAAAATCATAAACCATTGGTTGACATTCAAGAGTCATTAGGTAAGATCAAATGAGTTATGTACAAGATACGGGACCATAAAGAATACTTATAATTACTGGCAAATTTGGAAGGAAAAAAAAAAATAGGCTAACTTTAAAATACTTACTTTTTGGCAGGAACTGTTTTTTGCAAGTTCCAAAGTTTCAGAGTATGGTCCTCAGAGGCAGTAACTAGCACAGGTTCTACAGGATGAAAAGCTAATGCCCGTACTCCATCAAAGTGGCTACGTAGTGTATACTTGGGGTTCCATGTCTTTCGAAAGGCATCTTTATTGGCAGGCAACTAAAAAGAAAGAGCACAATATTTAGTGGTAAAAATAGTAAACTGAAGGCATGTGGATTTTTATTTGTTTGTTTTGGTGTGTTTAAAACATGTATTTAATACTGCTTTGCTAAAATGTCCAGTATAAATTTAATGTACCTTATAATAAATCTTCATCATTTAATAAAGATTAAGAAGAGTAATTTCATTAGCTTTGAAATACCTACATCAAATGGAGTCCCTTAATCTGTTTTACTGAATCATCAGGCTAAACCCAAAGGTCCTATTAAATGTCAGATGAGAATAACAAAAAAAACCTACTATGCTGCAATACCTTACATGAAAACAATAAAAATTATATAAATTACTACTAAATATCTAAGGGTACAATATTAATAGTACAGTTGTCATTTAGAAAATTAGCAATGTAAAGTTTTTAAAGGCAGCAAGTTATGATACTTCCCAAAAATCTGAACTAAAGACACTAAGAATAGTTTCATCATTATTATTGATATTGATAAAAGATTAATCTTTTTATCTTCATTTCTCCATCTCTAAAGATAGGCTATGAAACCTCTTCCAAAGCAGCCCAAAGCTTACTAGAATTTAGTTCCTTATGTACTTTAAAAATATTAGTAAGAATAATCCAGCCCACTACGCAAGCTAACGTAAGTATAAAATCTAAAAATATGAATTTGTTAAAATGGGAAAAATTATTTTGCTGAAAAACTGCAAATTCATTCATATAAAAGTTAAACGAGTTTAATTAATTCTCAATTGAATGTTCATTGACTATAAAAAATTTAATCCAAGACTAGTTTCACCTCTAACATGGTCCTTCCATATCCCCTCCATCCTTTCTCCATCCCTCAAGGGAAGGACTAAAAATCAGGAAATGGCAACAAGCTAACTTATCCTTTAAAAAAAACCCAAAAATAAAATGTGCTTTTAAAGAAGTGTCCTGAAGGTAAATAAATAAGTGGTTCAGGTTATCTATTTTCTTTTGTTAACACCAAAATATGGCTTAATTGGAATACATAAAAGAGTTGACTACTCAAGAAAATATTTATCAACCAATATTTTAAGATAATCAATCATCCCTAACTCCTAACTAATCCACCACAATACCTAAGAAAAATTTAAACACCACAAAGAAACTAGTTGTAAAAAAACAAAACAAACAAAAAAAAAACTACGTCACTTCAAATCAATGTATCGACACACAAGCTTATCTTTTCCATGCACCTTGAGATTAATTCTGTTTTATTAGTGTTTCCAAAAATAAGGAGCCTTCTATTAAATCATTAAAAAATTAAAAATAAAACTGCACTTACATCATAACTATAGTCTGCATCATTTGTTACCGTCAAGTCTGCAAGGTCTCCAAGGCCCAGAACACTTAACAAAACATCATCAGAACCCATAATAAATGACTTGCCTCCTCCAGATGGAAACGTTATTGGTTCAGCTATAAAGAACAAAACCGCTTCTTAAATGCTGAAAAATCATACAGTACAAGACAATATTCTGGGGGAAATGTAAGCACTTAACAGTTACAATACAGTAATATAATTTTTATTTTCCCACTTCCCTCTTTATTTCTTCCACTAAAAAACCCTATTATTGAGTAGTAATAAATAAGTGTTTATTTAGAAACTGCAACATAATCTTCCACAAATCAAATAAATGTACACTAGATATATTATTCCAGGGTAGGAGGTGGGGCACAAAAACTATTGTCTATTTAAATCACTTATCACTTCGATACAATTATAACTAAAGTATTTTTTAAATGTTATAAATTGTTGCAAAGCCTTTGCTTTGCATCATATTTGTTTAGAAGTGCTAGGTATTCTAGTCCTTGATAAATATAAGCATTCAAATTAAATTGTCTCCTTCTGTAATACCATGTATCAGTTTACTGAGACAAAGCCTTAAATTGCCCAAATTCCTCCAATAACAGCAATGGTCTAGAAAAAGGGCAGTTCTACCACCAACAATGTCAATTTCCTTTCTGCAAAGGTTAATTCATGTGATATTCAGAATGCCTTCCAGCTTTCAAGTTTTGACTATAATTGTTTTATTTTAATTTCCCTTTAATTTACAATACTTTAAAAATAAAATACCTAATCTATATTAACTACAAAATTTTAAATTAAATTTCTAATACTTTGAGCCATTAAAATCATAAACAGATTAACTATATTAATATATAAATATTTTGCTATAAGTTATAATCTAAGCAATAATTCTCAATACCATTTCAAACATGCTTTGAAAGCAAAATTTTAATCTTTAGATACAAGGGGGAAAGTATATAAGTCAATGTAACACAAAACAACTCAACATATCAAAACACATTTAAAATTCATGAACAAATTTAAAAGGGAAATCGTATATAAAAACTCAAACTAATTATCAACTCTGAAAAATTCCTATGAATAATGATATAAATTAATACACCAAAAGAAACATAACATGTATAATGAAACTTCTCAGTCATCATTAATACTACTGAAAATAATTGAGAAGATACAAGTCAACTTCTCCTAGATAAATAATACCAAAAGTAAAATCCATCTACATTTAGAGTATCTTACTACTTATCAAAGTAAGCTATATAATTTGATTTAAATCAGGTCCTACATGATGCTGCTAAAATGAAGTTGTGAGTCAGCAACTGATCTAGAGTAAATCTGATAGAAAATATACACAGGGATACTAGCAGTATTTAAACTTTCAATGATTATACTACTTATTGAATCTGAATAATATGTAGCGCTGACCCTTCCTACCAATATCTAGGTATGAAGTTATTGGTAATATCAAAGCAGCTGAGAGCAATAAAATCAATAGTTTAAAATTATGTTTAAGAATAATTATATAAAATATTCATTTGGTAATATTTACTAAAAGCATTTTTAGCTAGTTACAAGGACATATTTTTCTTTTAAGCTCATAATTTGTTTATAAGACAAGTCAGAACAAAATGCCACAATTCCTCCCACTCACAATTATATATTCAATAACACAAATCTTGATAAAGTAATAAAATAACTTCAAGATAATAACTAATTATTTTATATTATATATTCTTTTTACGGAGATATTTCTGATCAGCTGTTGACTAGTTTAGGGGCACATGAAAGGAAGTGCCTGAGCTATACTGCTAATTTTATTGAAGTTTTAGATTAATTGTATTAAACAAAAAATTAGTATTTATATTCATTTATAATTAATCATGACTACATTTTTCCATTTCCATATACACATATATTTATTTATATATAGCAAGCATGCTGCTCACTCAGCATTTATTACATATATATGTGAAAAAAATCTTTACAGCTACATTTCTACTTTCCATAATCCCCTGTCACCACAGTAAATACTCAATTTATTTCCTCTTGTTTCCTTGTAGAGGAAATTAATTTGTATTCTATAAATTCTATAAATTCATTCCATTCATTATTCTATAAATTCATTCCATTAATGTTAATATAGTTATAGCACATGATTACATAAGCATAAAAATGTCACTAGCAATTCAAAAAAAAAAAGAAAATTGTTTTATTTATTTTTTTAATCCTCACCCGAGGATATTTTTGCATTTATCTTCAGACAGAGTGGGAGGGGGGAAGGGAGAGGGAGGGAGGGAGGGAGTGAGGAAGGGAGGGAGAGAGAGAAAGAGAGAGAAACATTGATGTGAGAGAGACACATCAATTGGTTGCCACCCTAACCGGTGCTGGGGACGAACCACAACCAAGGTATGTGCCCTTGGCCGGAATCGAACCCAGGACTCTTTGGTCTATAGGCTGATGCTCTAACCACTGAACCAAACCAGCCAGGGCAGAAAATTATTTTAAAAAGTGGTAGTTTAAGAGATTTCATCAAGCAATTTAAGAATACTTTATGGAAATATTAGGGTCTACAAATGGGATCTTACAAGAAGAATCTTTCGACTTAATCTTCCTTTTTATAGTCACTAATGACCAAGGAAACCTGTAGCTCACATATCAAACTCTATTTTCTCCTTCAATTTTATCAAACATAAAGAAACACAGCCCAATAACTGATTCAATTTATGCCAGTGACTTCACATATCTTAAGTCTTTACTAAAAACAGTCTGAAAGATTGTAATATAGAACTTTCTCTCTCTCTGAAAACAAATATTTTTGTCTTTATAAAATGAGGTATGACATGGACTTCAACAGCAAAGCATGAAGTTGGAGGTTACCACTAAAAATGAGATTATGAACTCTAATGTTCCCTTCTTAGTTCTACTTAGAAGCTGAATTTGCATCTTTTAAAATAAATTCTAAGATTTACCCTTTAAAAATACAAATGAGGTTTGTGCTTATCTCCCCATCTCCTCCTCCTACCATTAATTAAAAATGACTTTCAGCCCTGGCTGGCTTGGCTCAGTGATCATGAAAATGTCCTCAATTTTCCATCATCCCCCAAAATATTAAAATAATTTAAATATTTAAGATATTCACTATTTCTGTGAATGTATGAATATATATCTGTTTTATATATGTATAAAATTGAGCCTTCTGTAACAATCCAAGTTCTATAAGCTCACAGACACAGAAGAGATATCATTAAAAAAGGAAAATCTGGTGTTTAAGGTTAATATTTAACAGCAAAGAATAAACATGAGTTTTTCCAACTTAATTCACTATTTTGAAGTTAACAAAGAAATAAGTACAAATGATTTTTTATGAGGGTGCAACAATTAACTTTTCCTGGTGTTTATGTGGATAGTTTCCCACCACATTCACACCAATTTGTCATTAACAAACCAACGCCAATTATTCTCAGAATGTTTCTGAGAATTTTCCCAAATTTGAAAAACCTCTGATACCCATAAGCTCTGATTTTCTCATAAAAGTATGAAAAGTCAACACTGTCATTGGCCATAAATTTAAAGGGAGAATTTCAGCTGCTGCCTGGATAATTCAGGCTAAAATAGAAAAACTCAAAAGCATCTGCAGTATTGTGGGAACTCTTTGTTTTAACTTTAAACTCAGAAGTGATAGAAGCACCATTTTTCTCATGTATTTTGAAAGAAAGGTTTTAAGAATTGTAGAAAAAATAAGACAAAAGAAAATGCTTTATAATAGTCAATATAAAGTAAAAACAATTCAAATAGGCCAGCCTATGGTTAACACATTATAAAATAGTATTACTAATATCAACATTAACAGACTAGCCCAGGCTGGTTTGGCCCAGCAGTTACAGCACTGGCCTGTGGACCAAAGTTGCAGGTTTGATTCCAATCAAGGGCATTTCTCTCAGTCAGGGTTTAGTCCCCTAGTTGGGGTCATGTGGAAAACAACCAATTAATGCATCTCTCTCACATTGATGCTTCTGTTCCCCCCCCCCCACCTCCCTCCCACTCTGTCTGAAAATAAACGGAGAAATATCCTCAGGAGAGGATATAAAAAAACCCAAAACATTAATGGACTAATTAGATGGCTATGTAATTATTAATTTTCTAAAATAATTGTAATAATATTATTTGAGGATTTCCCCCCTGAAAATTAAGTAACGATAAACAAATTCTCTAAAACTGAAAAACTGCCACCTGAATTTAACCATTAGTTAAATTCAACATGAAAGAAAATAAACGTGAGTCTTGCTCACAAAATAGCTCTCCTTTTTAACTTCCTACTTATGAGTATCAATACCACTGATTTGATTTCTGTTCTTAAAATTCTGCAACATCTCAACAATTTCTTTTCAATTTATAAAATGGGAGGAAGAGCTGTTTTCAAAAAGAATCCTCCCTTAAATTGCTCTTCAGATTAATCTCTTTCTACTGATTTTATTCTAAACAAATCTTTCATTCATATGATGAATCACTGCAAAAGACTCCTAATTGCTTTTCCTATCTCCCAGCTTCATTTGTCTTCAATCAAATTTGAATATCATATTTACTATATCTTCCCTACTCAGAAACCACAAGTGGTACTTCAACACTCTTTGAATTAAGGCTAAAATCTTGTACTAACCTGGCATGCACTTCACGATCTGATCCTATTTTTCCTATCTATTCCCACCTTTTAACACAAATCCCCCTATTTTTCTACAATACAAACCTCCCTATTTTTCCAGTTAAAGCAATTTTCCCATATACCAACATTCACCAAGGTTATTTCTACCATATTCTGTCATATCTGTACTCACCTATTCCTCACAAAGGTGAGAATACTTCCTACATATACATGCACACAAAGACACTAAGTTCTATCCTCTAACATGCACCTCGGCCTATCACAGTTCAACCCAATCCTCCAAACTACTTTCATCTCCTCTGTGAAACCTTTGCTGATCTTTCCCTGCTCACTCTTATACTTGTGTGTACTATAAAATTTGACTTTATTAGATATTATCCTCTAAATAATTCCATCATATGATCACTAATGTCAAATATAATACAGGCAAGAAAAGTTTTGTCATTA